TTGACGGGTCGACCCCCTTGACAGGAGGACAGGGCAGCTCGGCACTCTCCCCGGCGGGTGTAGGCGGCCAGCACAACACCAGGTCCCAGGTAGCGTTGCACCACACCTCTGTAAGACAGGCAACACCTCTGTAAGACAGGCAACACCTCTGTAATACAGGCAACACCTCTGTAATACAGGCAACACCTCTGTAAGACAGGCAACACCTCTGTAAGACAGGCAACACCTCTTAGAGCAGCAACACCTCTCACTATGGTGTATAACCTCTAGCTACTGTCTACCTGCACCACCACTATTCTTCACCATCACTACCCATCAAGACCACTACCCCATCACTACCCATCACCACCACTACCCATCATCATCACCACTACCATCACTACTCCATCACTACCCATCACCATCACTACCCATCACCACCACTACCCTTCACCACAACCCATCATCATCACCACCACCACCACCACCACCACTACCATCACCACCACCACCACTCGCTCACTCACTTCCCGAGAGTAACTTAGTGTTAGCCGGTGCTCTACCTGAGAATACTCCCTCGCTCTCATCTCACGGTAGCTTAGATTCTATTTCCTCTTCACCCAGCAGCGACTCGGTACTAAACATGGCTCACCCCCTAAATGCTGCGGGTCCTAACTCGAGCACCGTTACGGTTCTTACCCAGTCCGTTGACATGCACCCATTAGTGGAAGGGATCCAGCGCTCATGGAGTCTTGGGGCCAGATTCACGAAGCAGTTACACAAGTACTTACGAACCTTTACATCTTTTCTCAATCTTTGGCGGCTTTGTTTACAATTAAACAGTTAATGAGCTCGGAAGCACCAGGAGGCTGTTTATAACAATAACAACAGTTGATTGGCAAGGTTTGATGCTTGTAAACTGTTTAATAAATGTAACCAAAGCCGTCAAAGATTGAGGAAAGATGTACACGTTCGTAAGTGCTTGCGTAACTGCTTCGTGAATCTGGCCCCAGGTTCGTAAGTGCTAGCGTAACTGCTTCGTGAATCTAGCCTATGGTTCTCTAGTGTATAAGCTAGAGTACGGGCCAGGGGCACTGGTGTCGCAGACGCAGACTTCACCAGCATGGCGACGTCCATCCTGGACTAGTAAACCGGTGATGGATGTCTCGTGGCAGAATCATACGACTTCAGGAAAATTGTGAACTGGGAAGAATTTAAACAAAATTCTTTCGTAAGAGATATTCATCAGGTGTCGATCGTGACCCCTTTGGCATTGCTCGCCACATAGGTAATGCAGTAATGTGCCTTAATGAGACACGCAACACTTTCGGCTGACACCAAGATGAGCTACACAGCTCACTGAAGCTTTGACAGGTTCTAGATGGCAAGATAAGGGAAGCTTCACCATAGACAATGTGTGTAGACTACTGACGTCTGGTGCCCTGCAGCGTCATGCCCCCGAGGCCATACTGAAGGACATAGACGCTAAGGTCTTTGGTCTAAACAACACAATTTTGGAATTAATGGACGAGATGGTAGAGTCCACCGAGAGGCTAAAGAACCGGGACTCTGCCCAGCATTCTTCTGTCTTCAGTGCAGTCACCATAACCCGTTGTCACACGTTCTTTCCCTAGTAACGTTCAGACTCCTGCTTGGTCTCCTCCACCCCTCATACAGCCCCAGGTCATACTCCACGACTAACTCCCCTCAGTATCCTCCACGCACTCGAACGCCAGAATGCTTTAACAGTGGCAAATCAGGCCACCGTGAGGCAGAGTGCACATCAACCAAGAGGCGTTACCAACAGCGTGCCAGACACAACAATGCGGGCCATACTATCACAACCATCCTTATTGCACATTTCACCACGGAGCTGGACATGACACGTCAGAATGCCATGTCTATGGCATGGACATGGCATTCTTCTCGTGCCACCAGCTGCCTGGTCATGACTGTTGAGGTGATTGTCACCGCTGTACTAACCTCCAAGCTAACCACTATAGCCCAGCTCCTCCTCACCAAGCTAACACTATAGCTCCACTCCTCCTCACCAAGCTAACACTATAGCTCCACTCCTCCTCACCAAGCTAGCCACTATATATAGTTGGTGACACAGTAGTACCTCTTTGTGGCGTGTTCACCATGGGACACGAGCTCACCAACCATAGGGACTACATCAGTTACATTAAAGCCAGGAGTGACCAGGATACACTTTACCAGTCACACCCAAACAATGCCGTCACTCACTCACTGACACCAGTCCATCAGACAATCACACAGTCTCACACGTCGGTGAGGTCAATGAATCTTTGCGAGGGGTCCCAGCAATTGTTCATTACCTTATATGCCTAGAGTCTAACATCAGTCAAGTCAGAGGCATCTTTAACCAAGACACCGTACTACATTCTCATGCACTAACAAAGGTTATTGTCAAAATTACTGGTGTACTTGACCTAGATCACGTAGTAGCAGACAGTGCCACATGTTAAATAAAAAAGGTACCTACATAGAACCGTCCTTACATCAGATACACAACACTACTACTGCTGTTTATATTGCCAATGTCACCAATGTCAACATTCACCTCGCATCAGGCGCACACATTGTAAACTTCACCCAGTATTCCTTACCGGTGCGGGTGGTGGATGAGGCCTCTACTGAACACATAGTATATGCACTCTCTCATACGACAAATCGAAATCAGTTTGCGGTCTCACCTGAGCATCTTATTCCCACTGACTTCCCTGATGCCCAAATTCAGTTGCTGACCATCCTCAACAAACATTGTACTGTTGTTGCTCTGACAGGAGAACAACTTGGGATGACACACCTCATCACTCACAAAATTCCTCTTGAACCAGGTACTCTACCAGTTTATGTACCCACATACAGATTGCCTCATTCTCAACGAGCTGTTGCTGACCGACTTATTGACGAGATGTTACACGGAGGTGTTATTGAAGAAAGAACTTCACCATGGAATGCTCCATTAATCTCGGTACCCAGGAAGGATGGCTCTTGGTGTCCCGTCGTTGATTTCAGAAAACTTAACCAAGTGACGATAACTGATAGGTTTCCACTTCCTGTGGTCACTGACTTATTGCAGAACATAGGCCAGGATAAGGTTTTTTCTACACTTGATGTATTGGAAGGGTTTTGGCAAATACCACTTGACCCAGAAAGCTGAGAACTGACAGCGTTTTCAGTCCCGAATGGTCATGACCAGTACACCCACTACACCCGCAGGCCTTTTGGCTTACCCATGAGCCCTATTACTTTCTCAAGGCTTATGACAAACTTGTTCTGACGAATGATAGGTAATATCCTCATGGTTTACCTCGACTGCCTCATAATCACGTCCAAGGATGTGCCAACCCATCTTCAAAGTTTAGAATGTGTTCTTCAGACACTATCTGAAGCTAATCTAATGATCAAACTTAACAAATGTGACTTCATGAAGAAAGAGATAAAGTTTCTTGAACAATGTCACCCCAAAAGGCATCACCACTCTTGACTCAAAGATAGACGCTGTGAAGTATTATCCGGCCCTTCATAATGTTGAAGCTGTACAAAAGTTCATAGGCCTAGCAGGATTTTACTGCCATTTCATGGCTGGCTGCTCAGTGATTGCGTTTCCTCTCACTCACCTTAAGAAAGATGTGCCATTCGCTTGGACAGCTGAGCAAGAGAGTGTTTAAAACACTTAAAGAGGCTTTGATATCTCCTGCCATTCTCAAGTTTCCCAGACTTCTCCAAACCGTTTGTCTTAGTCACCAACCCCAGTAATATTGGGTTAGGAGCCGTACTAACACAAACTAGCGACAGAAAAGAACATGCCATTGCATGTGCAAGCCGAGTCCTCTCCAAAGCAGAAAAGAATTATTCGACAACAGAACGTGAAGCTTTAGCTGTAGTGTGGGCTCTCAAACATTTCAGAGACATCATCTTCAGCTTCCTTATCCATGTACTGACGGACCACCAAGCCATTATTCCCTTGTTCAAAGACAAGAACCTAATAGGTAAGTTTGCCCGTTGGTCGCTCACCATACAAGAGTTCCTACCCCACGTTTGGATACTTACCTGGCAGATATAATGTAGTTGCCAATGCCCTCTTCCACTACGTCGCTCCTGTTCACGTTTAATACCCTTCATCAGACTTGCAAAATGTAGAAATAGCACAACAACAAGACCCAATGTGGGCCCCGATCATAAGGTTTCTAATGAACCCGAACACGACTCTTACCGTCAAGCCTCCCGTGCCGCTTATGGAACCAATATTCTTAAATCACGTGCTCCCCCGCAAGGTTATGCTTGGCTCCCCTGCCAGAATGATACATAAACTTGTTATGCCTGCGTCGATAGTACCTACCGTGTGGAAACTTGTCCATGACGCCCCACAGAGTGCACATCCTGGCAAGGACCGCACCATAAAGCAGGCTCGTCTTAGGTACTTCTGGCCCAAAATGGCAAGACAGACTGAACATCACATGGATCAATGTCTAACCTGCCAAGCTCACAGAGGCCATTTTGCTGACCCGAACCCGATTCAGACTTACCCTACGACTAATGCACCTTGGCACCGTGTTTCCATGGACTTGCTCACGAACTTTGCCAAAACTTCCATAGGTAATAAACATCTTCTAGTTATGGTAGATAACTTCTCTAGATACGGTGAACTGGTTCCAATTCCAAACAAAACTGCAGAAACAATTGCTAGTGCATTGCCTGATAACATAATTTGCAGGTATTGTCCACCTCGGGTTATACTCTCTGACAATGACCCAGAATTCCATAATTATGTTCTGGAACAACTGACTTAATTGTACAACATCAAGAAGTATAATATAATGCCTTATCAACCAGCTGGTTGATAAGGCAACCAGCCTTCCTGAAAGAACAAATAGGAAAGTACTTGACGCACTCAGAGTAACAGTCAATCAGGACAGTCACAAATGCGAAGAACTTATACCAATCGTCCAAAGCTCGATCAACTCCTCTGTCAACTCGTCCATAGGAGACACGCCTCACTTTGTGCTGTGTGGGACAGACGTGAGATTCCTTGACGCTCTCATATCCTCGCCGCCTGTGCCACTCTATAACTATGATGTTTATGTTAAAGTAAAACAACA